CTGACCCGTAACAAGGTATCCTTCGAACTCGTCCCTTAGCCCCTCTCTTATCACTTAACTCATTCTCTCTCGTTTTTTCGAACGAAAACATATATACTATTCTACTGTTCTGAATATTAGCGGATAGAATACACGTACAGTTTTCCCTCGTGAGGAGAATAGATAGCGTCTTGGAAGAGCGATGCGTGGATGGACCAAGGGGGTCCCGTGGATTTCGAGGTCGTAGGTGTGCGCATATGTCGGATGGACGGAGGGATGGTGGATAATATAATGATGGCGTCGGCTGGGCAAGGAGGGGCGGGGCTACGAGGGGATCAATATTATCCTCCTCCACCTCCACCTCCGCGTTTTCCTCCGCCGTTCCCCTCTCCCCGCGGCATCCCTACGCGCTCACTCCCTCGTTCCTCCTCGTTCCTCCTGCCTTCCACCACCATCGCCGTCTCCACCCTACAACCGTCGACCTTCTCTCCCTTCTACCGCCGTCCCTCTTTCGCCTCCTCGTCCTTCTCGACGTCTCCCGTCTTACGAATCGAATTGCTCGGCCGGCGAGACGCGCCTCGGCTACGCTCGATTCCTTCCTACGTGTGTTTGTGTGTCTATGTGTGTGTGTGTATGCGAAAGCGCACATGGCGTGTGCATATGTGGCCTCGAACGAGAGGGATTGTTTATCGTGATACGAGGTACAAGCGATTCGTTGATCGCGAATTATGCACGATGTTGTTTTTCGTAGCTTTTTGGCAAAGATTCGAGATGTGTTGGATGTGAATGGAATGCACAGAATGTTGAGATGTATTTTTTAATAACGGAAGGATTCTTTCGATTCGATTCCAGGTTGGAAATTTATTCATTTTATTGGAATGGTAGGTGTGGAGGGAAGTTTTAAGAAGGTATAGAAGGAAGGAAGAAAAATTTATCGTTTGATGAAGTAGTGAGTGAAGAAGTGAAGGAATTGGGATTTGGAAAATATTCGTATATTTTTTTTAATCGATTAGGAGGTATATATTTATGATGGTAAAGATGTACATTTCTTTTTTCATGGCTTTTGTTTTTAGAGAGAAAGTAGAACGAGACGGTACAGGTCAGACAAAGGAGTTCTTTGTAGAATTCACGTAACTCCTTTACGTTTTAAGATGCGTAACAAGAAGCGAATATAAAAATAAAATGAAAAGTATAATGAAAAATATTCGCTATTTGACTTTATCCATACGATATAACATAAGTTTTACGTCGTGTCATTCGTTGCATGATTTTTCCAAGTATCTTTCGATACTCCTCGAATTTACAGAAAAGTTTGTTCAATTTTTAATCGAATCTCAAACACTCTGTTTATCGTTTAACGAAAATTTCAACTAACAACGCATTTACATCTCAAACCGACGATGTTGCCAACCAACGATCCGAAAATTTTCAATATCGCAAATTTTCAATATCGTCATTGTTGCTGCAACGAACATACATCTTTTAAACGCGATTGATCCACCTGTATCTCAAACAGGCGGAAGATTGACGTGATCGAAGCAAAAAAGAGGAGAAAAAAAAGGAAAAAGGGAAAAAATAGGGCAACAGCGTGGCCACCTCGTACGAAACGAATCGCGCTTATCCGATTGTTCAGTGGCCGTTGCTAAGTCGTGGGATTACCCTGTATGGGGCAGCGTTTTCGGGGGTGTCTATATAATGCCGGGACGTATACGGAAAAGACGACGAAGGGGTGCGGAGGCAGAGAAGCTACAGCCGGTTGGTGGGGGCTTGATTGATGAGCTGGCCCCCGGTCACGGTCTCATTACATTTATATAAGCTTTCGTAGATTGAGCCGTGCACGGAAGCTTACGCGGTGGCGAGGGGTCGTGATTTGATGAGGTTTTATTGCTCGGATGACGTGACGGGGGCCATTGTTCAAGCGGTTGTCGAGTGGAAAACATTGGATTCGATTTATCGTTCGACTACCAACCTAGCCATTCCAGAAAACTTCCATTAAGCAAAAATCGAACTGGCGATCAATCACAAGTGAAACGAGTGAACCGTAATTGGAATCGTGTGTTCTTAAAAACGAGAGCCATCACTGGATGAATTTTATATTAGAACGAATTATTTATTATTAAAAGTAATTAATCAGAATCTAAAAATATCTCGTTTCGATCCCGTCTTAATTTCATTTTCTTTTTACTTAGGGATGGATCGATTCGAATCTTCGAAAACCCCTCCCCCTGTTTCGCGATACAAATGGCCGCCGCCATTGCGGTTTGACGCCGGTCAAGATCGTCGTTCGAAAATTGGCACGGCTAATCCGAGGACTTTCGACCGGCGCGATCGGAAAGTTCATTCATCAAGCTTATGAGCCGCGGCGAGCGTCGCCTCGAATTCAGCCTGTTAAAGTTTATGGGCGCGGTCTTGTGTGTATACGAAACGACTCGCGCGCGCCTTCCGAGAGAGTTTATTGATTCTCGAGCCACGGCATCTTTCGGCCGCCGTTCTGTCCTATCGAGTTTACTCCCCCTCTTTTGGCTTACCGTCGCCCCGTGTCATGCCTACGGGGGTCGCTTCGTGGAATCCAATGATGTTCCTTCCTCGGGAAAGGAGGAAAGTTTCCTCGTACGAACCACGAGGGGAAATATATATATATATATATATTTTTTCATTCTTTTCGTGAAATTCATAGGGGAGGGAAAAATCGTATCTTCTTTGAAATTCGATCCTCCTCCTCGAGATTGTTGTCGACTATTTTCGTGGCGCTTGACAATTCGAGAGAACAATGAACAATGACGATGAATTTTGTGATGAAATTGCGTCAGCGTATGATTAAATTCAGAATGCAAGGTGTTGATGTATTTTTGGAACGCTTTCAGAGGATCGAAAAATAGAGACGTTTCCAATTGAAAATTACGAAATTACTCGTCTTCAGATAGATAGATCGAAAATTCCTTTGGAAATAATCGAAAGAAACGCGGGTTTTAATTCCT